TAATCAGTTAATTCCCAGATAAAAATGATTTCATTAGATACGTTTAATACAACGTTAGAGAACTTACGTTTATACGTGCATATATACGTACGTATGTATGTATATATATATATATATGTGTATATGTATTGAACTTTGAAATTCTAATAAAAGTTACGTAGAAGAGTCGCGAAATGTCTAGTTCAAATATACATACATGCGTACATATATAGATATGTAAGTAAATGCAGCTGGCAAAGGCATTCGTTCGACGGTTGCAGTAACAAGTCGGAATGGTCGATTTTGTATAGAGATAATAAATATACATATACCGAGTGCCGATGACCGATTACACGAATCATGGAAAAATATTCATTCGTCGTACATGTGTTATCGACCAACAGATAGATTCTCGATTGCATCGCTTTCGATTTGAAGAATTAATTTATGAATATAAATATATATATATATATATATATAAAACGTTCGTTTATAAAACAAGAAATCGTGACAATCGATGTTCTTTCTATCTCTCTCTCTCTCTCTCTCTCTCTCTCTCTCTCTCTCTATCTCTATCTCTCTATCTCTATCTCTCCACGATTAACCGTTGCTTTTAAAATCCTTAAAATCGATTTCGTCATTGCTTGACGTCATGCCGTATGAATTCTTGGAAAGTATTTCGAAATAATATAATAAATCTGCCTCGAACTCTTCCGATATCTTTTAGTTATTCCCCTTATAAGAGCAATGATTTACAAAAATCTAAATTTAAAACATTGAAACAACCTATACGATATTGATATTAGAGAAAACTTTTGATTATCGTAGAATTAAAAATTATTCGAAGTCTATTTCAATTCATAAGTAATTATCAATTGAATAATTATTCTTTCTATATATCTTTTTTTTTTGTTTTTCTTTTTTTTTTCCCCCATCCCCTGAACTCGTATCTTTAAAATAGACATACGATAATGGTAAATATCCATTATCGTATGAAATTTTGAATTATTTATCGATCACAATTTTCTCTGACAGCTATTGTTTATGACTCATAAAAATTTTGAAAGTCTATAATGTCTGAAATATAATATATATTACGTTACATAAATCTTCATGCTGACGAATAAATGTAAGATGTAGATAGGTCGTACGATTTCAATGGGGCAAAAATAAAAAATATAAAAAAATAAAAAGAAAAAAATTAGCAAAGAAAGAAACAAAGAATTTATCGAAATTTCGAGTTTCAATTTTTATCTTGATGAATTTTAAAGGAAGTTAGACGTTTATGTCTTCTCTCTCTCTTTCTATATATATATATATATATATATATATATATATATATAGAAATATATATATATATATATATATATATATATATATATATATATATTGAGTTTATGTACGTATAAGGAACGTTAGATATCGAATGCTTCGAATAGTTGCATAGGTTCGTGGCGAACCGATAAGTCAGAGATATATTGGTGCCTAAACAACGCGATGATCTCATGCTTTCCACTACCGAAATGGTTAATGGCTTTTCTGTCGGTTATCATCCCGTTTCTTAATTGAAAATATTCTAGGATCGTAAGGGCAATTCGGTAGGATCAAAACTACGATAAGAGACTACATTCGCGAGTTATTAATTACCTAATTAACCCTTCTCCCTATGGGAAAATTAATTTCCGATATGCTCGGTTACTTAAGCGGGACTCCGAGCTATGATACAAAATACATGTATCAATTTGTCGATAAGGAAAATGAAAACAAAGATAAGGAAAGGAAAAAAAAAAGAAGAATAAAAATAAAAATATAACGAACGATATGAGAGAGAGAGAGAGAGAGAGAGAGAGAGAGAGAGAGAGAGAGAGAGAGAGAGAGAGAGAGAGAGAGAGAGAGAGAGAGAGAGAGAGAGAGAGAGAGAGAGAGAACGAGAGAGACGCTATAATGTATTTAAAATTATTCAACCTTTTTTTTTGTTCTTTTTTGTTTTTTCTTTTTTTAACTTGGTATAAAATTGGTTTTATGTAATTTTTTTTCTATTTTTTTCCCCTGACAAATAGATTAATTTTATTATTCTACAGCTTGATCGAATATTTTGAAATTGTAACACGCCACGAATTTTTTTTTTTCTTTTTTTTTTTTTTTTTTTTTTTTTTTTGAAAATTGTTTTTATGCAATTTTTTTTCCTATACTCTTTTTCCCCTTGACAAATACATTAATTCTATTATTTTACAATTCGATCAAATTTTTTTTGAAATTGTGACGCGTGTATTTCTTTTTTTTTTTTTTTTTTTTTTTTTTTTTTTTTTTTTTTTTTTTTTTTTTTTTTTACAGCCACAAATATTTGTTATAGCGAAAGAGTTAGTTCGAAAGGAGATATATGCGTATCTTAAAAAATTCAAATGTGACGATAAAAATTCAGTATAGAAAGTCAAAAATGAGAAAGAGAGAGGACCGATCCGAAGGCGGTATATCGCGGATAATTGAAATTTACTGAAAGATTTTAAGACTTACCTATCATCTGGCATTTCCCACGGTGCAAATAAGTATCATCCTCGTTCATCGTTAGATACGATAATGATAATAATAGCTCTAATAAGACATAATGCGAGAGTTTCATAATCTTAATAAATCCTATTGGTTAAGTCGTCTAGTTAAATGTTCATCGCAATTCTAGATCATGAGAGTTTTCGATAAATTTCATTGAGAAACGTCGAGCACATTTGAATTGTCGAGAAAAAAATCGATCGAGATTAGTTCTCCACTTCTTGTTATTGAATTGAAATGACAAATCGCTTTTGGATTTTAAATGTCGTATTTTGAATTATTCCAATGCGAATCTAGGTTTCTTTACGTTTGACTTTTTATCGTTTTGCTTTTTCGACATAAATCATGGATACCTGATAATATTTATAGATAGCAGTAGTAGTTAACGTTAAGGAAAAGAATAAAAAAAAAAAGAAAAAAAAAAATAAATAAAAAAAAAGAAAAAAAAAAGATATGCAAATAAGTTCGTTAACTGGTCTTTTTTTTTTTTTTTGATCTCATGTCATGGCACCGTCTGCAACCTACTTTTTCACTGTAAATTCGTCCTCGTTAATTGATTTCCGGCTGTAAGCCTTCAAACGGCCGCCACTGACAAACTGCATACTGCGGTTTTACTTTTCGTTGTTTGTCTTGTAAATGCTTGACACAGTCTTGTTAATGCTTCTATATTTATACTTTCCACATTTAAGTATATAACAACCATATTTTATCGTGCATATTTTATTTTAAATATGCGACGTTCGCAATTTTTATCAACATTCGAATATAATATTCATTACGTTCGATTCGTTATGTATAATTAATTCTATCGTACATTAAAAAAGGAAATGCGCATATGAAATGTTATTCGACAAAATGAAATATAGTTTATAAATATTTCAAAATAAAGGGATATTAATTTTTATCAACGAATGAAACAATGGCGATACTTTGAGAAATTTTATTAATCTCTTACGTTGTTACGTCAATGCGTCAAACTCTTTGTCATTATTTTTACGAAATATAAACGAAACCATAGAAAAATTTTGAGGATCGTTTTTTTTTCAAAACTGAATCAAATCATTTATCAATATTTTTAAAGTTTGGAGAGATATTTTGCACTTCGTCGTGATTTGACAATGTTATTCCATTGATACTGATCAAGAAAGAAGAAGAAGAAAAAAAACGAGATCTATATGATTTTGTTTGTTTCATTCCTTTTTTTTTTGTTTTTTTTTCTTTTTTTTTTTTTTTTTTTACGACAATGACGGCGACGTCATCATCATCGTCGTTACGCATTTCTTTTATCGTTACCAGACGAGGACGACACCATTTTCGATCACGACGTTGACTTTGAGAACATATATAATTTAATCTTTGGTTAGATCAATGACGTTTCCATTTCGCAACTCGTTCGTTCGATTTATATGGTAATGTTAATGGACATGTCACTCGTCGACGAATGTTAATCTTATTATCAAAAGTTCGATCGTTTTATGATCGACAGGTTTCTCATTTTTTCTCTCTCTTTTTCTCTCTCTTTTTCTCTTTCTCTCTCTTTCTTTGACTGTTGATCTCTTTATTCTCTTTTACATACGTTGTATTTACTACCATCGACGAAGATAATGATGATTGCGCGATGGCGATGACGATGACGATGACGATGACGATGATTGTTATCAATCGTAGTAACGACATAGAATTGAACTAGTTTAAAGTGTTGATATTGCATTGTCAATAAAATATAGAACATCGTCAATTTTAATTAGGTATATATATATATATATACCTAATTAAAAAAATATATATATATATATATTATATACGTAAGCATATAGATATAAACTTTCTTAAGAAATATTCGATGAGAGTTCAATAGAAATGCGGAAGTTGAGAATGTACAGTTATGAATACATAAATGGTTGGAAAATACCAAAGGTATTAGAGTTAGAAGAAAGAAAAAAAAATATATATATATAATCGAAGTTAGTAAGAAATATTATAATAGTAAGACGAAGGAAGTAGCACGAGGTGTTAAAAACAATTCTATTAGTAATTTGAAATTTTTTTCATAGAAATAAATCTTCGATAATGGATAGATAGTTGTGTACTAAGTTGGAATCGGTAAAGAGAAGATGAAGTATTATTTTATTTGCAAAGTGTTTAGAGCTGAATAATAATCATAAGCATTAATTTGACGCAAAGCAACGAAAAAAGAAAAAAAAAAAAAGAAAAAAAAGAAAAGAAAAAAAAAATAAAAAGCGACCATTAGATGACGATATAGTGATCACGATATAGTAATAGATTTTGACAAAAATATTTTGTTATTTATTTATTTATTTATATTTTTTTTTTCTCTTTTAACTTTTTCAAGCTCTCGCCTTTCTTCTTCTTTATTACTCGCCAAATTATGATGACACATACGATTTCGTTTCTCATCCTTTCTACGCAATGAATTTTTCATACATATCGAAAGCGTACTCTCATTATCGCCGATGTTAACGTTATTTGATGACATACAAACAATCTGAATGAAAACCAGTTTCAACTTTCTTTCGATTTCAGAACGCGGAACGCGCTATAGCCTTTAAATATTATTTTTAGATCGGACATACGATGAAAATGTTACAACACGCAAACGCATGGTAAACCGCGTGATTTCTTATCACATTTTTCTTTCATTCGATGTTAGATATCTTTAAGAGCGAAAAGTAAGTCTCTCTCTCTCTCTCTCTCTCTTTCTCTCTTTTTAGATTACAAAGTCTAGACATTTTACATGACGCAAAATTAGATATATCGAAAATTATCGGTAAGAAACGCGTAAATTAAAGACTGTCCGTTTAACAGAGTCTTATAATTTATTTCTTCACATGTGTGCTGTAATAATAGATTTTAATTGCGAGAAAAATGTATCGTCCATCTTATCGGCGACATCACGTTCGTAAATCTTTCAAATAATTCACGTCGAGTCTCGTTCGATAATTTCAAGTCTCATTACTTCGTAAGCAAATCGCATTGACACACACATTCGTGATATATATATATATATATATATATAGAAAAACGATAATATTTAACAATCCGAAATTTTCATGCAATTTATTTCGTCAGTCTTACGCCGCACAATTTTTCGAATATTTTTTACGAATCGTCACTCTTTATGAAATCATCAATTCCTTTTCATAACGATGTAAGGACTAATTTCTTTTTTTTTTTTTATATTATTGAAATTAAACTATATGTATGTGTTAATTGTAGAGGTAATTTTATTATTAAAAAATTGATTCGAAATTTAATATAATGACAAATATAAATGATTTAAGTGCTCGTCAAAAATTGATATATATGGAAAAATTTAATTATAATTATTTCGATGAGATAATAAGCGAATTTCGAAAATGCATATATATTGTATATAAGGACAATTTGATAAATTCAAATTTTTTTTTTTTATGTATAAATTTCATTTTTTAAATGAAAAGAAAAAAAAAAAGAAGAGAAAAGCCGCGAATTTTTCAAATTGCCGTAGAAATCGTAATAGCCGCAATATTAATGTATTGCCATAAAAATGAACATTTTCAATAATAATTTGAAATTATTTAAGTAGATAATTTCTTGATATATAAAGAGAAATAAGGAGTACGAAGTTTGTGTTACGAAGTATAAGAGGAATGCTGTTTTCTTATGCGCACAGACTTCTTCGAGTCTTGTACTACCTTGCGTTCTTTATTTCTTCGAATGTGTGAATTGCATTTGCATGCATTTTTCATAGGCACATGTCATAACTAGAAAAACGTATCATATGCGCAGGGATTCCTAGCATAGATCGCACAGATGTGTATCATTATAAATTCGAAGATGGTATTGAATTATTTGAATTGTACAACATAAGAAATACATACATACGTGTGTGCGTGCGTGCGTACGCGCGCGCATGTGTGTCTACGTGTGTGTGTGTGTGTGTGTGTGTACAAGCCTCTTATAATTAAATATTATTTCTAAGTATCTTTTCTAACGGAATAAATTAAATAAAGATTAGTCATAGCAATTGAAAAATTCCGTATCATCGATGATGAATTTTTTTTTTTTTTTAAACTGTTTTATCTCTTTTTACTCCCCATCGATATAATTTACTTTCTTAGTAAATACATTTGTATAATACTTGTAAGATAGTCATTTATCAAATCGTATGTTTGTTTATTCTTATTTTTTACACCATCGCGCATCTTTAAGTTTACATTGGCGATTACGTTGGTTTGTTGGAAATAGCTTAGGAGATAAAAAATTGCCTCTCTCTCTATCTCTCTCTCTCTCTCTCGCTCTCTCTCTCTCTCTCTTTCTCTATCCCTCGAGAAAAAGAATTCTGCTAGTGACGTCGATCTTTCTGATAAATAGATTATAACAAGGCGAGTATAGGAAAGGAGTCTTATATATTTCTTGTTCTTTTTTTTTTCTTTTCTTTTTCCTTTTTTTTCCCCTTACAATAGCGATCTTCAAATTCCAAGAACTTTTAATATTAATCACGTTGAGAATGTTTGATGAATCCATTATTGTATGACATTAATAATGTATTAAATATTAATTGTTTCCCGTATAACATAGATATTTTCTTGTTTCAACAGGTTTTACACGATTGTGTTAAAGCGAGAAGAGAAGTTGAATTACATTGGAGGGCATCCAATTGCAGACATATTGTTCAAGTAAAGGATGTATATGAAAATTCGTATAGTGGAAACAAATGTTTACTAGTGGTAATGGAATGGTGTGTAATAATTAAAAAATTATATTCATCATAAGAGATTTGAATAATTATTTAATTATTTTATTTCGATCTATTAATTGATTTATTACAATTCGTTTATAGTATGGAAGGTGGTGAATTATTTCAAAGGATTCAAGATCGACAGGACAGTGCTTTTACGGAAAGAGGTATATATAAGAAGAAATAAAAAATTTCAAAGTCTCTTCCTTTTTTTTTTTATGATATAATATATATGTATATATATATATATATATATGTATTTACAGAAGCTGCACAAATAATGTATGAAATATGTGTAGCGGTAAAACATCTGCATGATATGAATATTGCACATAGAGATCTCAAACCGGAAAATCTTTTATATTCCAAACCAGGTAAATGAAAAGTTATTAGCACGAATTATTATTTTTTTTTTCTTCTTAATTGTGTCCTAATTGAAATTTCAATTGATTTCATTTCATTTTATAGATAGTACGGGAATTTTAAAACTAACTGATTTTGGATTTGCCAAAGAAACACATATGAAAGATACATTACAGACTCCTTGTTATACGCCATATTATGTTGGTAAGTAATTTTATATATATATATATATATATAAATTTTATGAAAAAATTTGTATATCTCATTTTGCAATGTTTAGCTCCAGAAGTTCTGGGACCAGAAAAATATGATAAAAGTTGCGATATTTGGTCGCTTGGTGTAATAATGTATATACTGTAAGTGAATTTCTCATGTTAAATGCAGTTAATAAAAATAAAAAATAAAAAAAAAAAAGCAAATCCTAATTCGTAAACGTTTGTAAAATTCGCTCGTAAAACTTTTCGTTAAATTCATAGATTATGCGGCTTTCCACCGTTCTATAGTAATCATGGTTTGGCGATATCACCTGGAATGAAAAAAAGAATTCGATTGGGTCAATATGATTTTCCTGCTCCAGAGTGGTCCAATGTAAGTGTACAAGCTCGTGATCTCATTAAAGGAATGTTATGTACAGATCCAGCACAAAGATTGCAGATAGACGAAGTGATGCGCAATAAATGGATTGCCGTAAGTTGAATTGTTCTAATTTTATATTTAGGAAATTAAATCAGTATAATTATGAAAATGATTTGAGTCATTTCTGATATTAAAAGAGAACATTTTATCACATTTTATTATATGTTTACATTTAATATTATATTTAATATATGTCTCGATTAATTGAAAATCGTTTGATAATTTTTTTTTTTTTTTTTTTTTTTTTATATATATAAAAAAAATCATATATATATTTATTTATTTTATCTATAGAAATATACAGAAGTGCCTCCTACGCCTTTGCACACTGGTCGTGTACTAAGGGAAGGTGAAGAACTTTGGCCCGAAGTACAAGAAGAAATGACCCGTTCTTTAGCTACAATGCGGGTAGATTATGATACAGCAAGTCTTAAACAACTCGATCATACGAATAATCCATTATTAAACAAACGTAGACGCGCTAAACAATCAAGCGCTATTCCACCTACCGCTAATCCTACTCCTGCTTCCTAGGAGGATGCTGTAAGGACCAGACACAACTGGCATTTTTTGATACGCAGATGCATTAGATATAGCATTATTACAATGCGGATTGTTTTTTGACGACTTGCATCATCATGCAAAGGAAACAAACTTGCAAAGTAAATTATTATTTAAAGAAAAAAGAAAAAAAAAACTGTGTGCATATGAGTGCACATATACCATCTATACGTGAAAGGATTACATGCGCTATTGCCCAATGTATCAAGAGTTTTCTTTTCGTTTTCTTTTTTTTTTTCTTTCTTTCTTTCTTTCTTTTTTCTTTTCTTTTTTAACCATCGTAAAATTTTTAATGTTAATTATTTGTACAATTGTTGTAAAAAATATTTTAGAAAAGTTTTTTTTTAATCATAGACACAATAATGATCTTTTAATATAACATTATTCTTGGGCAATAATGGCATGTATCCATCCTTCATAATTCAATCTGTTTTAATAATTTATAAATATTTTCAAAACGATAGATAAATATGGCCTGATCAAAATTATTTTAAACATTAATATTCTAAACGAAAATAAAGAGTATAAAAAGAGAAGTTACGAGTAAAAAAAAAAAAAAAAGAAAAAAAAAATAAAACAAAAAAGAATAATAATATACAATACTTGTCGAAGAATTAATAAGGTATGTGTATAATTTCATTTGATAAACATTTTCTAACGATATATTTACGCGATTACGCATCAACGATATATACATACATTAATTGCTGAAACTTAGTACAAATTATTCAATTTTATAAATTTTTCGTTCTATAACATATAATCTTTTACAATGGCCTAATCATATATATATATATATATATATATATCTCCTGGAAAAAGCTTTGAGTGATTGAATGTAGAGTAATAAAGAGCACACAGATTTATTGACAGTGAGTATTTATGTTCGTAATAATAGATGGCATTTTAAAAATAATATGTTAGTGTTATATATGTAATCATGATATAATATATATTCGAACATAATGTCTCTTTACAAATTTAAATTCGTTTATTATAATATAATTATGACAACAATTTACATCACTTCATTTTAAACCGTCCAAGCTGCAAAGTGTTAGAAACAGAAAATAATATCAAATTAGATATTGTTAAATATCATATCGCATTAGTACGAAATTAATTTATATTGATTGTAAAATGATAAAGAGATTCTAGGAAAAAGTATTCACTGAATGGTTAAAAGTCAATGTAATTACTTGATAAAATAATAATTAATCAATTTGTTCAGATGCTTAACACTGATCTTATTAACATCTCACTATTCTATGAATATTTTCGCCTGTATACACGAATTTATTGTTCCTCTCTTCGACATTTCACTAAAGTTTTAAGAATGAATAAAACCATATAGCATTGAAAATATATTAGAACAAGATAGAGATAGAATTATATAAAGTATAATACTTTAAAGAGTATATTTTTACCAATATAAAAAAATATTACTTTAAATATATATATATATAATAATCGTAATGTTGGTAAACTAATATACTTGAAAAATTAAAGTGATCAAATAAAAATATAGATTTTACTTGATTATAGCGAATAGTGTGTGTATAAATTTGATTATATTTTATATAAATAAATTTAGTATAAAGTTTTAGAAAAGAAAAAAAGAAAAAGAAATGTTCAATATATCGTCAATCAATAACTAAATATTAAGAAACAGAGTATAGATCAGACTGTTTATTTAGAAGTGACTGATATCTATTAAAAGTGTAAATATTCTTTAGGATATATAAAATTTGTAGTTGAGAAAACTGATCGTATATCATTGATTTATAGAATTTATTCAGGGTGGTGCTACTATCTTCAAATATTAAAGATATTATAAAAAATTATGAAAGCAATTTTTATTAAAAAAAAGAAAAAAAGAAAAAAAGAAAAACTTGTTTAATAAGACAGACGATATAAAGTTATTAATATCATGATTATACTGGCCTTATAAACAATTGTCCTAAATTATGTCCTTATTAATTCATACTTGTTCGATTACAAAAAGAATTACGAATTGGATGATAAAATCGTATTTTTATAATGAATACTGATTTGACATGCATTTATGAAACTCGACAATAAAAATGAGAATGTTCAATTATAGAATTACTATTTAAAATCATCTCATTGTATTTTCATATATTGAAAAAAAGATTTTAATTTTAATCACTATTATTATTATTATTATTATTATTAAACAAAAACGAACCAAAACATGGAATAAAACGAACCGAATATTTATAATAGTTAATGCCTTAGAAGAGTTATAACTCATTTGATATAAATATAATGCAGATAATGAATTTATAATATTCATGCACATACCATATTTTTGACCTCAAAATCATAAGAATTTTAATAAGGCTATTACTTTTATTGTTTCTTTTAATGCCATCAACAACTCGAGTAACAATCATGCACCAGTATACAGTATACACTGTTCTGTAGATACAAGTATTCTTATATTATTTTCTTTCTCAATATGCGTGAGTGATAATTGCATATATAATTCCTGATAAATATTGATCAAACTTAATGATCAATATCTCATAAGAATATATATATATATACTGTAAGTACTTACATTTATTATTGTTAAAAGTACTTGCATCTTAATGAGAAAAGATTCATTACATCTATGTATATCAAAATAAAGAAAATATGTTGAATACAAAGTTATATAAAATTATAAATAAAATAATTTTTAGAAACATAAAAAATTTATTCTTTTGCCTAGCTATTTTATATATTCAGTGAAAGTTGCAGATTTATTTAATTCGTATATCTTTTTTCTGAAAATATTTAGAACTTAATTAAGGTCTTTTACAAGAAATAAATTATACTTTACTTACTAATTTATCGCCTATAGCATTACGATTTGTTAAATCTTAAATGTAAAATAAATTTAGGAATATACAATCGATTATAAAATATGAATAAATTACTTATAATAACTATAATTAAAATGAGCCTTGTATACTGAATGTTTGTTACAAACAGTCGTTAAAAATGCAACATCACATTTTGAAATGATTGATTCACATAAATATACTATTATCCTGTAGAAAATACCACTAGATATATTAATTATTTCACACACTTCCGAAATAAATATTTTCTGTACGAATGATGATTTTTTTTTTTTTTGGATATACTTCAACGATTATAAAATTTGAAATATTGAAATTCTTTTGAATTTATTTAATAACATTTATTTTAGAAATGAAAGGGAATATGAACCTAATTAGATATCTGCAAAAACAATATATAATGCATTTAATCCTATCATAATTGTGCACAGAATATTTTATAATATATGGTAAGATAAATTTAATGCCTAATTAAAGGAAATACATTAGGAAAGTAATTTCGTTTATAGAAAAAGAGAAATATTTTCCTTACATATTTCTTTAGAACTATCAAATAATATATATCAAAACATGCTAATTAAATGAATAATGATGTAATAGATTTCATAGAAATCAATAGCTATTGTAAAAATTATCACGTGATAAATACATTTGAACTTTCCAAAAAAAAAAAAGAAAAAAAAAGAGAAAAAAAATGAGATTTGTACAATAAATAATTTTCGGTAACTATAATTTTTACGAGTCATAAAATGGATCATTTCTAAAGAATATCTAATACATATTAAAATATTACAACTTTTTTTTTCACTGATTGTTATAACCGTTATCGTATGTACTACGTATTTTAATGATTTCATTTACAAAGCTTTAGCGGCAAAATTCAAATGCAATTACACAATATAGTTTATAGAATTCTGACTCTGTGCTCGTTTTTTTGTCCGATTATATAAATGTGATTAATCTAATATTATAAATGTATGATATATCAATAAATATATTGTTCTATTAAAACATATCAAATATATCATCCTCAATTTGATGTAAGCCACACTTAACACATGCTTACGAAAAACTATAATTTACATAGTAAATGTCACAGCATGTTATGTTTTTTTTTGTTTTTTTTTTGTTTTTTGTTTTTTTTTTTTTATATATATATGAGGACAATATCCTCTGTCCTTGGAGTATGTTCCTGTGACATAGTATACTTCTATTTTAATTGTATACAATGCTAAAGAGAAAAAAAAAACAGAACTTTTTAAAATCTGAAGATGCTGTTGCTAGAATCAACATATTGATTAAAAATTTGCTAGGAGTTATCGGAATGCAAAGGAATGACAAATTTTGGTCCAAAAGGAGACCTATAAGTAATCCCAACATCAGAATAAACTTTGTTTGGTAGAGCAAGATTACAAAGATATAGTCTACCATTGTCAAGACTATGAGATAATGGTAAAGCACCAACTAAACTAAATTTACTTAAAATGCCAGGTGTACCTGCAGATGGTGGTTCAATAGCTAAAATAAGTGCTCTATTATTATTTGCCCACAGTGTTACTGGAGTAACCATTTTTGGAGAATTTTCATCGCATAGCGCAACAAGAATTAAATCTACGACAGAAGGTAAATTTTTAACTTTAGTTTCTACTTTGTTTTCTGTCAATCTATATAATGATAGTTCTTGTAGAAGAAAAACATCTTCTGAATTTTCAACGAATACTATTGTTTTAACACCATGACTAGATAATTGTCGTGCGCAATTAACGCCAGCAGCTCCTGATCTATTCGGTCCGCAAAGTGCTACAACGGTTGGCCATTGATGAGCATTATTTGGATTGAGTCTATGTCCACCACCAAGAAGTTGAAGAATAATTTCTGCTCCTGCACGTCCAAGAAGTTCTACCTGCAATGCTTAAAGTTATTTACAAATTTCTCATATTAAATAAATTAAAACAAATAATTCATAATTATTTCATACCCTTCGTTCCCAGCTAATACCAAGCCGATCTGCTGCACCAATTAATTGACGATGAAGATCAAGAGTGATACTTGGTATTACTAGGCCATCATCCGTAACATATTCTTTTTCCCCAGTCGAAGGTACAACAATTTGTCTGAAAGCTGTAGGTTCCGAAACAATTATATTCTCATCGTGTCGATATTTACCACCACCACCTCTATTACTTTCCGACTGTCTGACGATGTCTGGTTTAAGAGAATTTATTTCTTGCCACACAGCCTAAAAAATAAATATTATAATTTTTAATTGATAAAAAATTATTAAAACTCTTACTTGGATAAGATTCTGATCTTTATACAAACCTCTTTATTAAATAATGCTAAATTTTTTTCAAAATCGAAATCTTGGTTCAAGGATTGATCAATAGGAGTACCAAAAGTATGCTCATCCCTTTCAAGTGCTCTCTGTCTATGAGTAAGTCTCTTTTGAGCTGGCTTACAATTAGGCTCAGCTGTAAAAGTTAGAAAATATTTATTACTCATTAAACTTCAATAATATCTACCTATTATTTTTTATAAAAATATAATATACTTGATCCCATTTTTCCATTAGTTGCGAGCTCAGATTGCTGTTGTGTCGATTCGACAGGTTTTTTAAAATTCGATGATGATTGCATTCCACCGGAATGTGTTGAAGATGGAACACTTTCAGAAAAGGATCTACCAGCTCTTTTGGCAATCGGTCTCTTTACTGTTACTTTACTTTGTGTTTGCGTATCATTTATATTAGAGCCAGCTTCTTTGGTAGAAATAATTTCTACGTTGACTATATCTTTAGCACTAAAATTCAATTATATGAGATAATATTGATTTAATTTAAATCTAAAAATTCACATACCGTTAGAGACTTACTTCAAACTAACTACAGACGAGGTATGCGGTACGCCGTTACAAAAAGCCTTTGAAAGAGTCACACTTTGTTTATTTAAATCGATTATTTGACCCTGGTAAGTACCAAGATCATCTATACATGTGACAGAAACTGTACAACCAACGAATTGTTCTGACATTTTTTCAATCTGTAACAAAAAAAAAATTTCGTATTTGAAATTAATACCTAATCGCATACAAAAAACTGTATATTTTTAAACGTGTTGATGTGTTATATTTGTAAGAGAAAAAAAAAAGAAAAGAAGAGAAAAGAAAAAAAAAAAAGAAAAAGAAAGAAAGAAAGAAAGAAAAAAATGTTAAAGTATAATTTGTATACGACGTACCGTCAATTAAAATTTATAAATACGATTAAGGATACAACAGACTTCTTACAAAAATATTCACATAAAACTTTTGTACTTTTACGAACTCTTGGATCCTAGCTTAATTCATTTAGATTTAGTTAAATATTCTTGAATGTTCAATACAAAATGAATATTATATTTCAAGCTTTTCGACTGCTGAACAAATAACTATAATACAGAATATACGTGATAAGATACTTTACCGAAATTTTATTTCAACTTTTTTTTGGACAAGTACCAATGGAATTAATAAAAAAAATATCACCGTTTTAATCTTTCAATCAAAATAAATTACATATAAATCCATAAATAAAAATAAAAATGATCTGTATAAAATATATATATATATATTTAGGTTTTTCATTCAAAGAAAATAAACTTATTTCTTACCTCTGATATATTAGAAAAACTAATAGTTCATTGGCTATTGCTGTTCGTTACAAACATGGTGTGCAAAGAATAATAGAGTGAACACTTAACGTACATTTTAGCAGCACCATCTACAAATTCAAATGTTATTTATTTGCGCGATAATAAATTGTTATTAAATGTGTCGTTTGAAAAATTAACTCGAGTATGATATTATATTTTTATGGTTGGGGGGGGGGTAGGACAGGGAAATAAATAAATAAAAATAAAAATATATTACGATATCATGTATGTGTTCTATTTGATTTTTTTCTTTTTTTCTTTTTTTTTTTTAAATTTTGTTTTCGCTATCCTTACATATGATCGCATTCTTTTTATATAAGCATGGCGTAGTAAACAGAAGACAGACGTATCACTTTATGTCGTCTGCTTCCTCTTTAATACTGATCTAATTTATTTATATTCTGTAATAATAATTTAATTTTTATTTTTACCATAATCATCGGAAAATAATATAATTTATATATTTCAACGTATTATATAAAAGTATCATGGTTATTAATAAGACTGAAACTCAATCAATTGATATCTTAGATACAATTGAGCAAAAGTTAAAAAAGATTGGCTGCCTTGAATTACATTATCAAGTTCAGGTATAATAATATTTAATCGTATATATTTCCATTGATCATTGATTAAAGTAATCGTTTCTATTTTATACATATATTTTAATTTAAGGAATGTATGGCTGAAACACGAGATTGGAGAAAATGTCAGGATCATGTAAAAAGGTTTAGAGTGTGTATGGAAGAGCATCAACAAAAGCAAGAATAAGTTTTAAAAACAATTAATTAGAATTTTCTAAATATGTTATCTATATTAAAACAAATAATGCCAATTTTTCTACGTACATCTTCGATTGAAAATTGTAAAATGGTAATTATAGTGAGAACTGATATAGTTATGGGAAAAGGAAAAATAGCTGCACAATGTGCTCATGCGGCATTAGAATGTTATAGAAAAGCAACAGCTAATCCAAAAAAACATTATATGTTTAAAGATTGGTTATATTATGGTCAACCAAAAATTGTTCTTAGAGTATCTAGCGAAGTTGAATTATTAGATTTAGCGAATAAAGCTAAAAAAGTTGGTTTAACCACAGCTATAATAAGAGATGCAGGTAGGACTCAATTACAAACAGGTACAATTTCGGTAATTGGAATTGGACCTGGTCCAAATATAGAGATAAATAAGATTACATCACATTTGAAATTATTATAAATATCAAATAAATGTAAATAAATGATATAATATTTATCGTTTTGAAATAAATGATATACCATTTTTTATATCTTTTGATTTATATCATATTTATAAGACATAAGGGAAAATAATTTAGTTTTCTTTTTTTTTTTTATTATACGTAAAAATAGTACTTAACATATATGTGTTCTCATTTACTACTTGTATATTTAACAATATGAAAAACTAGAATTCAAATTGACGTTTGTTTGTACAATATATTTTTTTTGACAACAGCTTATGTGAAAATATCAAATGATATACATTTTTAATTATATAGATGAATAGAATCATTCTAAATACAATAAGCTAATTTCACAATTATTTGAATGTGATAGTTATTGCCAATTAAGCAACACTACATATATATATAATTGATATCTTTTGATTTTATTAAAATTTAACTTTGCTCTCATTAAACACTTGTAAAGTATGAATCAAAATTTGTCAAAATTACATGTGCACTTTTGTTCAAGGTTTATATATTTTAATTAAATATTCATTTGAATTTATTCTGTGAAACATTTTATTTACTTTTTAAGGACATGATAGACCTTTTCTCAATTATTTTTTTCTAAAATATTATCCATTATCTGATTTCTACAATAATATCAAGACATTAGAAACATTGCACCAATATTTCAATACATACATGGAGCTCAAAATTTTTCTAAAGACAGTGTATATTTGTGTATACCCCTATCACCTTATTTATTACAAGATTCGAGCAACATCATTTCATTAAATAATATACAATTAATAAAAAGTAATATTACAAATATAATTGTTAATTCAAAATCATTGATTCATTTATTTTTAGACTAATACTTTAACGACATACAACCGAATTTATAATTAATAAATCAGAAACAAACAAAAAACATTAGTTTCTAAGGAAAATTTTTAACAATATTTAACAATAATAATGATTTATAATATATATATATTTATCTATATACTAATATAAATCATCACATAGAATTTATACTTTCTTCAGGCAGTTCGAAAATTAAAATTTTAATCACAATTTTTTTAATAAAAAAATAGTAGTAAAACCCTATAGAATATCCAGTTTTTAATAAATTGTATTTACTGTGCTTTGATCTAAATTAAAATCAAGTAGCTTATTGCATGACAATTATATATATATATATATATATACAATTATATATATATAATCTGAAGAAAACTGCTAAGAGCCATAACTTTTTATATAGTAAATATTTCCAAGTGTTTATAGCTGTGCCAGTAATAAAACTGTTACCAAGTAAATATGCAGTATATGTATAATACTGATATTGTTCATAATAAATGAATATTTTCAGTTTTGTACCCAGCTAGTTATTTCATGGCTGCTTAGTCATGTTCCCATCTTATTATAATTATAAAACCACACAATCGTGTAAACAACTATGTATAATCATTCTTTTTCAAGCACACACTAAAATATATTTTATAGTGTAGAATAATAAAATTACTGAAAGGTATAAAGAGAAAACAAAGAGAGTGAAAATACTATTATGTAGATTACTATAAAATTATAAAATTTACTATATAGTGGTATAATTATTTTATATTTTTATGTACGTATATCTTATATAATAGGTATATGATAAATAGGTGAAATATAGAAGCCAAAGAAAAATAAAAATTATCAGATAATTGCCAACCATAAAAATCTGCTACACATTTCAAATATTTCAAAATGAAAAGAAAGTGACTTTTTATATTATTCTATTATACACTATGCACTGTGATATATCCGTGTGTGTTATGAATTAGTAAAAAATAAATCAATTATCATTATTTTTATCCTATAAGTAGAAAATTATCATAATAAACTGATTTTTACATTGTGTTCGTTCATTTTATCTTTTTCGCATTAATTATTGACTTCTATTGCATATTTCAATCTAATCAATGATATACATATATTAATTACAGAATGTGCAGCACATTTCAGTCTCAAATAGCACAGATCAAAGTATTATCAATTTTCTATGGTTTTACCATTTGGCAAATATACATCACATTTTGAATGTTACTCTTCAATATTTTACCCGAATTAAGATTTTAATATTAAGTGATAATTTTACTGAGTTCTGGTGGTTCCACATAATTATTTAGTACATGAGGTGCTTCATTAAATTCATCAAGTTCATCACCATTATCTCCACCTTGGGCGAGTAAAAAGTACTGTTCACTTCGTGTTGGCCATAATAAATGTGCCATTACACAATAAGCAAAACAATCAGCAGAGTATGTTATACCTAAAATTTAATTATTATCATTTTATATAGGTTTATGGATTTGTTTTTACAGAATTTGTGTACTATAAACATGTGTCTCATACGTAGGGAGTTTATCACTACTTACCTAACAACAATTTGAACCTCCAAAGAGCACTTACTTGAAGCGCTATAAGAGCTATTATTGGTAAATAAATAAACCAAACTAGTGAAGATGCACCGAAATGGAGAAGAAAATTCAATTTTTGAGTATTATGTTCATACGTCATAGTATTTCGAAGTTCATATAAAAACCATATCATTATAGCACTTCGGAATAAAAGAATGAACCAACCTGGCCAGGTTTGGTATTCGTCAATGTCTTCTACTATGTCAACTTCAGTCTAAAAAATATAATAACATGTGTAACAAGTATTTTACAATGAATTTAAATAGAATAATAAAAACATACCATGTTCCAAACATACAACAAAATGTGTACTACACCATAACATAGCCATATAGCAAAAACTAAGGGCTTCCATGTTAATTCCATTCGAGTTACAGCCCATCCTTTGGCAAGTAAAAGTAGAAGTAACATAAATGATGCCTATAATATAAATAGTTCATTGTATTGATAATTTATGAAAAAGTACAAGAGCACACACATACAGACATATATGTACATATATGAATCAAGTTAATGATATTCTATTGCTGTATACTAAGCATAAAAAAAAAGAAAATATGTATATTACATGCTTGTATTTAGGTTTTGCACTTCTTTTATATTCTACCATATATTAAACACACACTTTTCTTACCCGTGAGAGAATATCAAAAATATCGCCGGCAACTTCTAATCGTTCGTAGCCAACTCCATCGAGAGAAAATTTTAACACGTGTATTAAAATTAAACACACTGCAACAAACTCTAAGAATAAGCTAGCCGTAAATAATCGTGTCACAGGGTGTTTTTGTAATCTTGCTGCATATAATTGCAGCGGAACTAATATAATATAGCACACAAAGAACAGTAAATATAGTTCTATAGTATTCTGCCTGTCATAGGAGAACTGATACGTAACGCTGTTCAGGCCACTAGTATTAGGATTGCCATTTACTAGCCATATATCATACTCTAATATGT